GAGAGAGAATCATTGATTGGCTGCCTCCTGCATGTCCTCTGTGGGGATTGAGCCCATAACCTGGGCATGTGCCCTGTCTAGGAATCAAACCAGGGACCTCTTGGTTCATGGGTGGATACTCAACCACTGAGCCACACCGAGCTCTAAGAACATCTTAAGGACTCCTGATACCTGGGCCACATTGCTTCCTCACTGCCATTCTGTCTTACCTCGAAGGTTCTTTGCAGGGCATCCTGTATGCTTCTGGCTTCCGGATGTCAACCCTGTGAACTCACTAGAATCCTGGTTCATTTGGATTTTTCAGCGGGCAGGTGCTGATCTGTTCTTGCTTTGACAGTTCACTCCTCTGCTCCTGACTTTTGCCCAGTGGTGATCCTGTGCCATCCTGATGTGGTGTCCATGTTTCCTCCTATATCTGGATAACTTTCTCAGCCTGTTCCTACAACTCTGTCCCAGCAGTAATGGTGGCCTTTCAGTGTGAGGTTTACAACACAGTCTCCAAGACTTATCATTGCTTGTGGGAGCCAGGCAGGTGTCTGGGACTGTGGTTATGGCTCGTCATTTTGTGCCCAGTTCCAGGAACAAAGTAGACTTATGCTGTTCCCTTTTCAGAAAAAGTGTCCAAGTATATCCCTAGAATAATGGTTATACAATTTGCCTATGAAGCTGGTAGAAAATTGATGCTGGGCCCAGCTGGTGTGACACAGTGATTGAGTATCAACCCATGAACCAAGAGGTTGCTGGGTTCGATTCCAGGTCAGGGCACATGCCCATATTGTGGGCTCGGTGCCCAGTGGGGGGCATGCAGGAGGCAGCTGATTGATGATTCTCTCTCATCATTTCTAAGAGGCAGCTGATTGATGATTCTCTCTCTTTCTTTTCCCTCTCCCTTCCTCTCTCTCTAAAAATCAATAAAAATATATTTTTTAAAAATTTTAAATAGAAAATTGATATTGGTATTTCTCATATTTTTCATTAATTAAATATATGTTGAAGAAAAAAAATATGGGTTCCTCTAATGGACATATATTTGCAAACAAAAAAGACAAAGTTGCTTTCATAAGCTTATATTCTAATAGGATATGAATATAAGAATTATTGTAAGTATAATATATAAATATAAGACAAAGTGTAAGTAAATAAAAACCTCCAACAAGCCAACATCATTAAACATCAGAGAAATGCAAATTCAAACCAAAATGAGCTACAACTACACACCTACCAGAATGGCAAAAATTTAAAAAGACAGGCAATTCCAACCGAGTTTCATCCAGGGCTCTGAAACCAGTTCCACGCTTAGGTAACCTTTTGGTCATCCCCTGCTGCTCTACTGAATAGGCTTGTGGCCATTAGCAAGAAGAGAGGATGGGATCTGTGGTCCCCCCAATGCCCTCTCAGGCTGTTTCCTTAGCAATCAGCAGAAGCATGCAGGGCAAAGTACCGACCAGATGTTAGCAAATGTCCTTCAAGTCACTGAGCTAAGCCTAAGAACATTAGCTCCTGGAGAGATCTGAGCTTTCTGAAGAACTGAGACTGTTATAATATTGATATTATTTTAGAACAAAGTGTTAGAGCATTTGTTGTCTGGAATGAGCACCAGAAGAAATCTCTGGCCTGAAATAAATTGTCCAGATCTGCTGGGTAATGGATAAGTTATTTTCAAACAGCCACACAAAAGAGAAGGCAATTCCAGGTTATAGGAGGTAGATGAAAAAATGTGCAACTTTCTACAACATAGGAATTTAAAGAGGTTGATCACATTTCAGAATTTTTGTCTTTTACCAAAAGATGTCCATGGCAAAAGTCCTTCTAGGTGAGCTTATGTACAGGATATGTAGCTAAGGCAGACAGAACACCGGATACACTTCCCTCGTTGAGAAGGGGTGTGTGTATGTTTTAGTTTCCTGTGCCTGCTGTAACACATGACAACAAACATGGTGGCTTTTTTTTTTTTAAATATATTTCTTTATTGACTTCAGAAAGGAAGGGAGAAGGAGAGAGAGATAGAAACATCAATGATGAGAGAGAATCATTGATCGGCTGCCTCCTGCACACCCCCCACTGGGGAATGAGCCCGCAACCCAGGCATGTGCCCTTAGCCAGAATCGAACCTGGGACCCTCCAGTCCACAGGCCGATGCTCCATCCACTGAGCCAAGCCGGCCAGGGCAAACGTGGTGGCTTTAACAACAGAAATGTATTCTCTCACATTTCTGGAGGCCAGAAGCCCCAAATCAAGGTGTTAGGAGAGACAAACTCACTCAGAAGTCTCCAGGGGAGGGTCCTTCCCTGCCTCTTCCAGCTTCTGCTGGCTCTAGGCATTCCTTGACCTGTGGCTGCATCACTCCAATACCTGCCTCGGTGGTATTGGCCTTCTCCTCTGTGTTTGTTTCAACTCTCCCTCTCCTTTATCATGTCATTGGATCTAGGCCACCCTAAATCCAGGCTGATCTCATCTTGAGGTCCTTAATTACATCTGCAGATTCCACTTTCAAATAAGATCACAATCAGAGGTACAGGGGTTAGGTACTTGGATATATCTTTCTGGGGGAGACTGGTCAACCCATGACAGTGTGCAAAAAACATCCTTGTGCCTGGCCAGTGTGGCTCAGTGATTGAGGGTCAAACCATGAACCAAGAGGTCACCAGTTCAATTCCCAGTAAGGGGCCTGCAGGAGGCAGCCGATTGATGTTTCTCTCTCATTGATGTTCTATCTCTATATTCTTCTCCCTTCCTTTCTCCCTAAAATCAATGAAAATAATTTTTTAAAAAGACATCCTTGTCCAGGACCTACTATTTCCCAGAATGTGGCCCCCTGACCACCTGCACCAGAACTCCGTGGTACTCTCCTGGAAACAGAGATTCTTAGAAACATCTCAGACCTTCTGAAACCACCCTTTGGGCTTGAGGCCCAGGAATCTGCCTTTGAACACATTTCCCAAGTGATTCTTGCCCTCAGTTTGAGAATCATTCTCTCAAGACCTTGAAAGCAGAAATTCAAGTATTTATATTGTAGGATGTTAGCCTTCCCCGTCAAACCAACTTTCATAGAGAGACAATGCAACTGCAGGGCACAGAGTGGTGATGCATGCTTGCTCTGTGTACTAGAACACAAGCCACTGGATAGAACAGGAGAAGAAAACCGCCAGGGAATGAGAACAATCAGATGTAGAGATACTGAAACCCCTCTGGCTGGAAACTCATTAAAGTGCCTAAAAATACCTAACCAATCTCAATGTCAGATTTTGAGAGTTTAAAAAAAAAACCCCACCACAGTTGCAGATGTTCTATACTGTATTCTGGTAGAGAATCTGTCTTCTGTTGTCTTTCTCCCCACACCTGTAAATAGATTGTGAATTAATAACTCAGAAAGGAAGCATGTACCATTACCTAAAAACAACCACTGAAAGGCAGACAGGGGGAGGGACAGATTGAAAAGCTTCTTGAGGCCTGGGGTTTACGCCTCCCTAATTGTTCATGAAAAATAAAACACACCGCTTTTCCTGACTGTGGCACTGGTGAGAGATGCATATTTGGGGTGACTGTGATTTGCACGTGGGTCTTAATTTCTAAGATGACCAAGTGACGACAAGGATAGGTGAATGCCATTGAAAGAATTTTATTACATTTCCAAAAAGGAGGGGGCATGCTATGCCATACACGGCCACAGGGGGGAGCACCAGGTTTGGTCAGGAGGGAGGAGGGAGGGGAAAGCATGGCTTAGGAATTTTATTGTGTTTGTCCTGGAAAAGGCAAGGCAGGGCTGGGGAACAACTTAGAATTGACTAGTCTGAGTAATGTGGGCTCTGGGGTCCAGGGGTGGTCTCTGGTTGTCTGGTACTTGGCCCTGGGTGATTGATGTAAGGCAGCAATAATATTGGCTGAATGTGTGAGAATTAGGGCAAAAAAGGTGGCGGGGGATATGGAGTCGGGATTGGTTGGAGAATTTCCAACATGGTTTTCTGCACTTGTAAAAGCTGGACTGCAGGGGAGATGTAAACAACTTCAGTTGTTCATTTGGCCCTGTGATAACGGCTGCCAAATAGACACCTACAGAATCTAAGAAAACAGGGTTAGAACAGATTGCTGAGGTACCTGTCCCCAACCCAGTGATTAGTATCTAAGATTCACCCCCAACACTTTGTTCTAGAAAACCTATCTTTCCCTCTTAAGGAATAATCAGATGGCTTTAAGGTTTTGTGTGTTTTTGTTTTAATATCTCCACTTTTTGCTTATTCTATGTTGTTGGTTAAAAGTTGTTCCTTTTCATCTTAAACAAAATTAGCAGACTTTTCATCACTCTGTGATAGTGGAAGCAGAGGAGGTGATGTGGGGAAGCGGCGCTTCGGTTCTGGGTGGTCAGAGAGAGTGATTCGTGGGTTAGGATTGTGTCCCCTTTGCCGACCATCACGATGCTAGAAGATAGATAAGGAAGACTAGACCAGCTATTGTTTTGGTTTTTCTTTTCATAACACACCAGCACTTTCAGACAGATCTTTATAAACGTGGATCCTTTTCCTCCTACAGATATGCCAAGTACTATATGGAAAACAATGTTGAAAAACGGACTCTGATAAAAGTCTTTGGGGTCCGTTTTGACATCCTGGTTTTTGGCAGTGTAAGTATCTGCCCCAGCCACTGGCACTTGCATTCCTACAACCATGTTCTAATGATCGCTGTAGTGCCCCAAGAGATGAATGTTTTGATGGTAGTCATTAGCTGGCACTGTGCATCTCACATGTGGGATAAGAGAGGGGGAAGAAATGTCTTTGGGGTTCTGTCCATGAACAGTCATCTGTTGAATAAAAGAGGGAGATAGGGAGAAAAATAC